GGTGCGCAGAGCGGCTGTGGCATGAGGTGAGGGGTGCGCGCGCGGGGGGGCCGGGGGCGTGGGGAGCCCCGCGCTGTGAGGGGGCGGGGATGGGCGGGGCCTGAGGCGATCCTTACCGATCCATCGCATCTGAGGCGATCCCTGTTAGTCGATCAGCTTCTTATTAGCGGATCCGATTTGACTCGCTCCCTCCTTATTGGTCAGTCCGATTTGACTCCTTCCCTATTGGCTGATTCGAGTCGACTCCTTCCTTATTGGCTGATCCGATTTGATTCACTCCTTCCTTATTGGCCGATCCGAGTCGATTGGGTCCTTCCTTATTGGCCGATGCAGTTAATGCTGTGCCCCACGCAGAGGCTGGGAGGCCCAGGCCCCTTCCCAGGGGTGGGGGGGCGGGGTGCCTTCCTCTGCAGAGGGGGGCACGGTCTCTACCTGGGGTCCCTTGATCATATATTAATGGCCTTTTTCAGCAGCCGTTCCTCCCAGGCCCCTAATGATTGTTGTTGCCCTGTGCCAGACTCCTCCTGAAACGGCCACATCTTTCTGGAAGTGTTCTCTAGGGGGGAGTGATGTGTATGTGCAGGTGAGGAAGGGGACACATGGCGGTAAGGTAGACTATGTCAGAGAGGAAAGGTGGATTTCCTGCAAAGCCTGGAGAAATGAGCATCTTCTCTTAGCTCACGTTGCCATAAACCAGAATGACTCTGACTTACATGGTGGGCTTCTTCTGTGTGATAAGAGGGGCCACGATAATGAATAACCAGAAAGCACAAGCAGCATTGGGAGGTTCCCAAGAGCATGACCTAAATCAGTGTTCCCACCTGGGAGCAGTTGACAGGGGCGGGAAAAGCCTAGCGAGACGGAGAAAGCTGCATGATCTGGCATCTGCTGCAACTCTCTAAAAGAGAAGTGCTTTCATTACCAATAAGCAAACCCTTAAAGCAGGTGGCCATGCTAGTATCTGACTGAGTTTAAGGGCTGGACGTGAAGGCTCCACTGTCTGCTGGACCAGGCTTTGGTTATTTTCTTCCACAAAACAGCTTGCACTGTGAGAGCTCCCAGTTACCAGCGTGTGCCCACTCTGCAGCCTTTTGATAACTGAAGAGGGACAAAAGCCAAAAGAGGCAAAGTGGTGACAACTGCGTTAGGGCCTGGCATGAGGGTAGTCTGGTCACGGCAAGAAAAAGCTGCAACAACAAATGTTTGCAACAGCTGACATAAGTTGTTCCATTGATCTTATGTTCAGACAAATCCCTGACGCTGTGGGGAGACAGTGAGGCCCAGAAAGCAGATACTGCACCGATGGGCACAATACGAAGAGCTAGATAGAACCGTTACCATGCACATAACACCAAGAGCCTCACATTATGCATGGCCAGTGGTGCGGGGGGAGAGAACATCTTTCAATACCCTATAAATGAAACGCTTCAGGCAAACCACGCTCCTGTACCAGTTTTTCAGGTAGCTCTGCGATGTGAGTACTTCTGTTATGGTAGTTTTCCCTGTGATTCTGTGAAATACATTTTTTGGCTTTACACAGTTTGCCAGGGGATGGAAATTCTTGGGATGTGTTGTTCATAATAATAGAGCTTTACAAAACTATTGTGAATGATTTGATGCAAATGGAAGCTTTATTTTGAGAGAACAGCAAATCCGCCTGATTTGCAGCCTTATTTTTTTAAATAGGAATGATTACACAATGTCTATAAAATGAATAATTTCCCTTCTAGGATTTTATGGAGATTACATGGATGCTGTGCTAGACTATTGACAACTACATGTTTTGGAACAGCTGCCTCAAATACATCATTTCCAACAGCTTGGAAGCCATTGGCACAACATTTTGACAGACTCTCTGGACTTTGTATAGAGGTTCAAAGAAATAGTTCCTTTAGGATGCCTGAAACTGTAGAGAATAAATCTAATCCTGAACTATATTCACCAAATCCTGATGTACGTGGAATGACAATACTCGACAGAGCTGCTTTCAAAAAAACAATTACTGTTCCTGTTCTCAAGGTGAAAAAAGAAATAATAAACAGGCTGTTGAAATCTCTGAAACACATGGTGCTGCAGCAGGCGGGTCTGAAGCGAGTGATTGATGATCCAGAAGATGAACACCATAAACTTGTTTTGTTGGATCCCCATAAAATGTCATCAGAAGGTTCCCTGGGAGAAGCTGACCGAAAAATATTAAAACAGTTTGATATTATTCCTGAACTATCCAAGCATGACGTGGAATTCACTTATGACTGTTTCAAGGCAGAGGAAATCTTCCAAGCAGTGCTCCCAGAAGGCCAAGATGTCACCTCTGGATTTAGCAGAGTTGGCCATATAGCTCACTTGAATCTCAGAGATCATCAGCTGCCCTACAAACATTTGATTGGTATGTAAAAAAAACAAAACAAAAACTTTGGGAGGTGCACAAGTAGATAAGCATCATTTTAATAATTGCTACAGCTTGCCATTATTCACAGGGAGGACTTTAGGCACCTTTATAGTTTTTCTCTGACCTACCGCAGCCTTGTGTTTAAAAACAAATACTTAGACTAAATTAGACAAACAGCCTAATCCAAAAAAAGTAGTAGCCTGCATTCACCAAGCATTGGCTTTGACCCTGATCCTCAGCAAAGACAAGCAAATAGGCTGAACTCAAGTGTCTGGCAGCAGCAGGAGCCAACATTGGAGTTGGATGACACCTCTTTTTTGATGTGGCAGCTGTAGTTCCTTGCTGCAGTCTGCCCTGCGAATCGGTGACATTGCTACTTTTCTGGGTTCCCAATTCATCCCTCTTTAAAGATTGTACAAATTGCATTGAGCTACAAAATGAATCTGATCCCTGGAGGAAAATGAGAGTTTACTGGGTATATCATGGCAGATTCTAGGTGTCACTTGCCCTGTGAATCAGTAGCAGAACTAGGAGGAGCACTCAGGTCTCCTAAGATCTGCTGTATTCACTAGACCAGGCTGTCCAATTTAGTAGTCTCACCTCCCTAGCTGCAAGCTCCCCTGGCACTGTGGGAGAGGGCAGCCCTTCCACCACTGCGCCATGCAGGTGGGTGGCTGCCCTGCACCTCGCCTCTTTGGCCCTGGCTCCTCCAGCACTGCAGGCTGCACTTAGCCACACAACCCGGCCCTACCCTACTCCACTTCTTGGGAAAGAAGCAGGAAATGAAAGCCAGAGAAGGGGCCTGGCAGTCTGGAGATCCTGACTACAGTGAGGGGAGCTGAAGCCAGGGGGAACAGATTAACCCTTTGTGGGCTGCATAGGTTCCCTGAAGAGCAGGAATAGTCACTGAGGATTTAGCTCAGTGGGAAGTGATTCTTCCCCTGTATCTGGCAAAGGGGAGGCCACCTCTGTAGTACCGTGTCCAGTTTTGGGCCCTCCACTACTGAAAGGATGTGGCCAAAAATTGGAGAGTCCAGTGGAGAGTCCAGAAATGGTCAGGGAGCTGGAGGACATGACTGATGAAGAGAGGGAACTGGGCTTGTTTAGTCTAGAGAAGACTGAGGGGGGATTTAACAGCAGCCTTCAGCTCCCTGCAGGGGGATTTCAAAGAGGATGGAGCTGAACTGTTCTCAGTGGTGGCAGATACAGAACAAGGAGCAATGGGCTCGAGTTGCAGCAAGGGAGATTTAGGTTAGATATCAGGAAGAATTTTCTCACTAGCAGGGTAAAGCACTGGAACAGATTACCCAGAGAGGTTGTGGACTCTTCATCCTTGGAGGGTCTTAAGACCTAGACAAAGCCCTGGCTGGGATGATCTAGTTGGGGCTGGTCCTGCTTTGAGCAGGGTGTTAGACTACATTTGACCTCCTGAGGTCCCTTCCAACCCTCATTTTCTATGAACTTGTGATTCCTTTTGTTTTTCAATGTCAGGTATTTGCATTATGGGAGACTTTGTGACACTTCTATAGCGGCACGAGGGGAACTAATTCCTACCACACTGAGAATATACAACAACAGATGTAATAATTGTGTCACTAATAAATGTTGCCATGGACCTGTTACATCTGCATGATCCCATAGAGGTACAAGTGTCAGAAAACCCTTTCAACATTACCAGTTCACTAACTTTAATTGCTGCAGCATCCAGCAGACCAGTGACGTTCAGCCTTGTGCCTCTGGGGGTCAGATGAGTGACACAGGGTCCGTCTATGAACTGAATCAGGTCCTGGGGCCTGGCACTACCTCCTCCCTGTCCCTCATGCCAGGATTGGAGCTTGAGGGTCCAGCACTGCCTCCTCCAGCCTGCTGTGTGTCAGGATTGGGTCCCAGGGGCCCTGCGCCAACCAGGTTGAGCTTCATGGACCCAGTGCCATCCCCACCCAGCTCTGCTCACTGGGATTGGACACTGCGCAGGGCCTGGGAGTCTCCACAGGTCAGAAGATTTGGCAGTAGGGAAGCAGTGGCACTGTTCCCCCGCTGCCAAATTTCCAGACCTGTGGAGAGCCCCACAGGCTAGATGGCAAGGTGCCATGGGGTGGATCTGGCCCATGGGCTGGAGATTGAGTACCCCTGCTGTAGACAGAACAGCTGATGCACGCTGCCCTTTTAAAGTGGTTACTAGATACACTTGCCCATAACCTGAATGATTTTACATGTAGGTCATTACCAAAGCAAATGTATGTTTGAAATACAACTAAATTTCCATTTTACTAAATGCTAGTTGCATAATATAAATAACCACAAATCTGTGTAATAGGTATTTAAAGATGTAGCGGTGCTGGGGGTCCTGAGCGCCCCTCTCCCCTTTTTTGCTGTGCTGGGTGCATCACTGGGTACAACAGCAACACTTGAGATTTGAATGTATTTGTTTCTTTCAGGCCAGGTTATCATTGACAAAAATCCAGGAATCACCTCTGTAGTAAATAAAATCAACACCATTGATAATACTTACCGAAATTTTCAAATGGAGATCCTAGCTGGGGAGACCAACATGATGACAAAGGTATGGTTTTTTCCTATTTCCTCGAGCACAGCCAGGGTTTAAACAACACCTACAATGCAGGTGCAGTGGAAAAGCAGGGACAATTGAAAGATGCTAGAAAACTTTTAAAACTCTTTCTTTTCTTCCTGTGGTTCTCAAGAAGTGACGTTTCATACATCCCAGCCTATGGGGAATGAAATAACGGCCCCATTAAGATCGTTCTTCATAGGGGTGATGTACCTAAGCATTATTTCAGTTTTTATAGGTTTTACCACCCATTCAAATCTGGGTTGAGTAATGGATTTTGACAGCAATCCTTATTTAGAATCTCCTGGTCTGTTTTACCCAGAAACATATGAGGGCTATGTTGCATTGTTAAATGCATTTGCCCAAGAAGATAAATGTGTGTTCACCTACAGTGGCTGGAAAATAGGACTGAGACTTGAGTGCTATTCTGATCTTTACCACTGACCTACTTTGTGGCATAAGCAAAAGCCTGTGATGATAAAACTCATCCTAATAGTGTGTTATGATCCTTGGGATGAAAGGCACTTTGTTTAAGTGCAAAATATAATTCCGTAAATTGGGTATCTGAGGTTTACATGGGAGTTTAAGCAACCATTACCCACTGTTTCATTTAGCTAGATTTATAGTCTTGAAACAAAGCAATTCTCTAGTTTGGTGCAGTAAAGTTTTCTGCACGTGTAGATACGAGATCTACTTGGAATATAAAGCATCAGATTTCACTCAAGATTGCAAAGACAATATTAGCTTTTTATTTCAGTGAGGCTGGAGTCCTGTAGAGATTCTTGCACTGTTGGCACCAGAATGTAAACTATGGTTTGGGAAATGGCAGTTGAAATGATGCAGTAATTCTCATTATTGGCCATAAACTTGTGCAGTGGTCTAAACTATCCACCTCCTTTTGGTGTTATATTACATCTTTTGTCTATTCAAAGGACTTCGGTCATCAAGTTTCCTGTTGGATGGGACTCAGGTGCTTGATGTCTGCTATCTGCAGAGGCCAAGTGCAGTGCCCTTACAAAACGTTGTAGAATTGGGTCCCATGTAGCTTAGATCTGTCATTCTTGTATTGTCTGTCCTTCAGTCACTATGGACTTGACGCAAAAGAGGGCTTGAGGCATCCCCTTTTGAAACCAGCTAGCGGTAAAGCAGCTGGCAGCCTGCTGTAAAGCCCTTGAAGGGACTAAGGAATTTTTTTTTTTATGACTCTTTAAGTTGCCTCCCCTCTGCCTGCCAGTTTATACAAGTGCAGGCCAGATAGCCAGATTGACACTGAAAAATTCCCTGCAGTGGCTAAAGCATCTTTCCGTGGCCCTTCCATAGAAAGAGGAGAGTGGGGGGCAAAAATTTTGTTTTGCGCACACAAGTCTCATTTGTTCCATCAATAGTGTTAATATCAACGTACCCATTCCATTTTAGTAACATGCTTTCTTTTTTGCTGCAGCAAATTAATTATGATGCTTAAACATGCATGTGTCTGGAATCTGAATATGGAATGTTTAACCCAATGTCTTGGACTTTCAGGTTAAAGAAAACAGCATCCAATATGAATTTGACTTCTCCAAAGTGTATTGGAACCCACGCCTGAGCACAGAGCACAGCCGCATCGTCGACCTGTTAAAGCCGGAGGATGTTCTGTTTGATGTTTTTGCTGGGGTTGGACCTTTTGCCATCCTAGCAGCCAGGAAGAAGTGCAGAGTATTTGCAAACGATCTAAACCCTGAATCCTACAAATGGCTTCAACACAACTGTAAACTGAACAAGGTGGACAGAACAATACAAGTCTTTAACATGGATGGCCGGGATTTCCTCAGGGGGCCCGTGAAAGAACAGCTAACCGAAGAGCTCTCGCTTTCAACAAAAGAAAAGAAAAACTCTCTACATATAGTCATGAATTTGCCAGCTTTGGCTATTGAATTTCTGGATGTTTTCAAGCATCTCTTAGACGGGGAACCATGCAGCTCCAATCTCCTTCCCACAGTGCACTGTTACAGCTTCTCCAAACACGATAATCCTGCCAAAGACATTCAAGACAAAGCAGAAGCTTTCTTGGGAACATCCTTAGAGGGACGCTGTTCTATTCGCCTGGTGAGAAATGTGGCACCAAGTAAGGAAATGCTGTGCATTAGTTTCCAGGTCCCAGCTGATGTGCTGTACAAGAGGCAGTGCCCTACTGAAGGTAAGCCCTAGACTCGTGCTGCTCAGTTCTTAGCGCTGGCAAGCTGCAGCCTTGACACTTCAGAGAGGAAGTCAGGGGTACATTAGAGGATTAAGTTGAATCTGGGGCTAACTTTCACCTCGGGCACAATGATGTTATTGTCTTAGTCCCTCTCCTGCGTGTTGGGGCCCATCTGCATGGTGGGTTTTGTGGCTGTGTGGGGTCAGTTTAGGATTGAAACCTCCAAGCGGACAGAATCAGCTCGTACCCATTTTAATAGGGAAATGCTTATATAGCCACCTGCACTCCCAGAAGTATCTGTTGAAACTCTTCCCGAGTTCAGTGGAACCGCGCATCCTCAGGTCAGCTACACCAGTTCACATTACATCTTTTAGCTCTGTTTTGGCTTAAACCTCCCCTCTGAAATGGTAGCAGTGGGAGCAGCACCTCCTTGCAGCCATTCTAATCCTGCTCCTTTCACTCTGGTCTCACTCCAAGTATCACCCTGGCCTTGCCTGCTGCATCTTTGCTGTTATTAATAACTCTGGAAAGAACCTCCAGAGAACCAGAACAGTGGTCCTGGGTGTCCTGCTCTGCACCACTGCTCGGGCTCTGACAACTGGGTCATGGTTCACAGGGCCTCTGGCAGCCCACTGACTCAACAGTAATCTAAGCCCCTCTGCAGGGCACCTTTAGTGGCCTCCTTTCCTCCCATGCCTTTCAACCGAAACAGCAGCATAAAGAACAACCCAATCCAGTGCAGCTGGGCTGCCTTCTCTAAGCTCTCCCCAGGCTTCTGCTCAGCTCTGCGAGCTTCTCTCAGCTTGCACCCTCCTGGGCCTGCTCACAGTTCCTCTAGCCTCCTGTATTGCTCCTCCATTCAGTGCAGGGAACTCCTTCAGCTGCCACAGCCAGGGTTTGTCTCCAGTTCCCCGCACTGCTTCTCTGCTCCCAGCAGTGAGCACCTTCCTCTAGCTCTACCCAGGTCAGACTGCCTGCTCTGGCTCTCTGCTTTGACTTGACCTGTCTCAGTGACATGTCCAAGTGTCACGACTCCAGTAGTTCAGTGCAAACACTGTCATATAGATTTCTTTTGTTGCCTGTGAAATAACTTACCCCTTTTTGATCTTGTTCCAGTGAGTCCAGAGGAACCGGCCTCTAAACGTCTGCGCCCAAATGGAGATTCTTCTGAAGAAAAATCAATCAGTTGACAAGAGCACTGACCAGTCCTTTGTCATTAATTCGTGGAAGACACAGTAACGCAGGTTGGGTACCTCCAGCCTTCAGGCTAATCAAGGCGGGCTGGGTTCTTCCTTGAGCTAAGACAACACAGTGTCCTAATGGGTAAAGTCTGCGCTGCATCTTTTTTTTGTGAACAGCCTGCTCCCTGGTGGCTTTTGTTTTTGTTTAATTCCAGCATCAAAGCGATGAAATCATTTATTTTATTGCACAGGATATTAAACTTTATTTCCTCATTTTATAACAGTTCTATTGTCCAGGTCCTTCCTTAAGAAAGGAAGAGCAAAGTGTGGTGTGCTAACCCAGACTAGGCATGTCTTCTGGTTCAGCTTTATGCAGCTTATGGCAGGGTGGCACCTGAACACAGACATTTCATTCCGACTTGAAGCTGTGGAAACGTGAAACCTTTCTGCGATGATGCCGAATGTGCAAGGCCACCTGAATTGGCACAGTCTGGCTGGGTGTCCCTTGGCTTCTCAGGCAGATCCTGTGTGTCTAAGTAAAGACAGCTTTGAAAAACATGCTCTGAGGTCCAGGTAAATGCACAGATTTGTACCTGTGCTGCACTAGTGATCACTGGTATTAAGAGGAGGGGCTTAGAGCTCCATGCTTTTAGCTAAAGGTGGAAGGACCCTGCCGTATTACTGTACTGACTACTAAATGACCATCAGCATGCAACGATAGATTTGGTACAAGCTTGGCGTATAGGGCACAATTACCCACACTCCCCTTTATTTCATGGACCCCACAATCTCCTGGTCATTCTCCTACATCTCTCTTCATTTGTGACTTCTGTGAGCCCTTCAGAGGATGCTCCTCTTCCCCTCAAGCTTTCAGTGTGGGCTTCACAAGGCTCTGCCCTTGAACCCTTCCATTCTCCTTCTTACCTTCTCATGGGTCATCAGTCTGTTTCTCTGACATCTAAGTGTTTGTACTCTGTTCAGCTAAAATGGGACCCCATTTCCACTTCCATCTTTCTCCCTTGCTCTGGGGAACATCACCATCCTGCCTGTCACTTGGGCCCACCTGGGCATCATCTTTGACCCCGTTTCTATGTTTTCACAGCCAGACTATATCTAAATCTTGCTTTTGCATACCCTCTCAAAGCAGGACCTTTCCTCTGCTGCACGCACTTAGAACTCCCTTGACCAGGCTCTTATCTCACATCTCTGGTTTGGCAAATGCAGTCTTGAACCACTCACATCTACCCAAAGTGCTACTGCAAAGCTACATTTCCTAGTCCTTGTGGACTGCCTGCTTTGCTCCATTGGCTGCTTGTCTTATTATGCACTCTCAAACCCTTCCTTCCCTGTATCCATCATTGTGCTTTCAGCATCAAACTCTTAACAATTACCTCCATCATCCTCCTTGCTACACTGACATCCTTGCGCTTTCTCCCATGCTCCCCTCATGCTCTTGGAAACACCTGCAAAGCCACTTTGCTCCCCTTCAGATCCCTCCTTAAAAGACTTGTTTGCAGTGATGCTTACAGAAGTTTGAGGGCTTCAGCTGCTGGCCTGCTGAGACCCTCACACCTGCCGCTCAGTAGCATCTCGCCACTGCCCTGTACTTCCCCAGGGACTCACTGCTTGGGTCATGTCTTGCAGCCTCTTCAAGTCTGTTTGCAAGAGCCTTGTCCCATGGTTGGGGCTCCTAGGTGCTACACGAGTAGAAACCAGAGACCTGGCTTTTGTTTGCCTTCCCCTAGAAACGGGCATGGCCCTTTTCCTAGGATCTTGGGAACATCTGAATGCAACCAGAGGGAAATGGTCAGGGGCAGGGTATTGGCTCTGTCCTCATCTCTCCCCCAGCACCTTGTATGGCAGCAGGGAGCAACCGTGTTAGCAAGCTTGTTGCAAATGAGCTCCACACCCTCTCCAAGTGCCAATCTGATCCCCTTCCTCTGTCCTATCTGTTGCTCTGCTTTCTGCTTCCTGTCCTGTGCTCCCTTCCTGATCTGCTGCTTTACCTTCTGCTTGCTGCCCTATCTGCTACCACATTGCCTGTCCCCTCCCTGATCTGCCACGTGCTACACGCAGACGCTGCCTGTGCCACAGGTTGGCCACCCCCGTTGTATGGTGGTTGGAGATTGCGTCTACATGATGTGTGTGAGGAATCGACAATTTGGGGGATTCCTGTGGTAAATGACCACTTGCAAATGCAGGGGGCTGGGCCCTGTGGCTCAAGAGAGCCTTCCATTGTACTTCATATGTAATTTAAGGTGTTTAAATATAATTGTATTTAGGCACATTGAAGGCCACGGTTTCGAAATATTCAGTGCAGACTCGTGTGTAATTACGGTCTCTGCTCCCAGAAACAGAACCTTGCACTGACTCTTGCTGGCAAGGTAACTAATTGCTTGCACGTATGAGCTGCCTGTCTCTGCATTCACATTAAGCGCAGGAAGGCAGCAAGCAGTTGCGTTCAGAGGGCCGATGAGCTGGAGCTTAAAAAGGGAACTCCCACATAACCAGAGGAAGAGGGGAGGAAGTTCTCTCCTTCTCCACCTACACTAACCCAAAGCAGGTCACGCTTGCATCGCTAGCTTTGTGCCCAGAATGGCCCATCCACAGGACAGTGCGGATGCCTGTTAAGATGCCCAAGGCTCCACCTCTTCCACAACGGTTTTTGGGCTTCCCTCCCTCCCCCTGAAGGGGACCAGCGGTAGTAAAGGTTGTGGGGTCGGGAGTATCCTGAAGGTCGGGCCTGGGAGAGCAGATGTGGGCAGGTGGAGGAGGATGTGTCCTGTGGGCATGCCATCCTGAACTAGAAGCCTGTTGTGCTGCTTACAGAACAGCTCCATGGGGAAAAACTACCGCAAGGAAGTTAAAGGCTTTTTCCCTTCCTGGCCATGTAGTTTGGCTTCCTTCACCAACTAGAATGACCTGCAGTGGGATTAACCAGCACTTCAGCTGCTTCTGCAGGCACGGAGGTGAAAGGTTCGCAACCAGAGATCTTGCTTCTGTTTCGGACACTGGTATCTGATGTCACTCATTTTGTGAAGTCTCCGAGTAGTGTCTCCTCACCTGTGGCCGGCAGCAGGAACTGAACGTGCTAGCTGAGCTGGGGGGGGGGGAAACTAGCTTTCTGGGAAGAAAACACAAGCTTGAATACTGACAAGACGAGTTATAACCAAAATAGCATTTACATGCGTGTGCCAATGCAACCCTGCAGTAAGAGCAAAAAAACCACACGATTCAATAAAAAGTCTGGCTTTATTTTCTAAAAAATTTACAAGTCTGTTTTTTAAACCTCAAACATACACCGCAGAATTATTCACATCTTCCATCTGATGTGGCTTCGTGCCTCAGCCTCCTTCAGCAAAGTGCCCCATGACTAATGAGTTCCCCCTTCCACAAGCACGTATCTCACTTCACAAAGCTCGGGTGCAGACTTTTTTCTTTTGAATACCCAAACAGAGCTGGCTCGAGCAGGGAAGGGACAGCCACTTCCCCATAGTGCAGAGGGTAGCAGCGTACCCGAGATTCGCTGTTTGTTCCCTGCCAGCATCCATTTCTCCCAGGCAGGTGTATGCCGGCTAGCTGGGATGCCAGAAGAGCCCACTGAAAGCATCCTGCAGGGCTCGGTGACACGCAAGGGAAGAAGTGTAGCCTCCAGCAAGATCTTGTGGAGAAGCAGCTCGGACGTGATTTAGGTACCTGAAACAGAGAACATTGTCTGAGCCTGCAAACAGATACATCCTACGCACCAGGAACCAGACGGATTGGAGTTTGGGGCAGTCCCTTCCCTTCTGTCATTCAGAACCTAAGACCTGTGGGTTCAGAAAACAGCAGTGCCAAAGCCACCTCCTACATTTCAGACCGCACACCTGCTGTGCCAAATCACCTGAATATGTGGTGCATGCTTTGAGAAACTTAATTTCAGTCTCTAGTGCTAGTGAAAGGTGCCAGACTGACGGCTTGATAGACTTCTCTAGCCCCCGGTAGCTGCGAGACAACAGCAACGTGAACATCCTGGCACTGCCCGAAGGATTCCCAGGGGCCTGGTGGTTTTGGCGACAGCAATACAAACACCCCTTTTCCCAAGCCGTGATGCCCAGAGTGTTCCGGCTGACCCCATGCAGCGACACTGGGGTCTAATGGGAGCACCAACAAGCCAGAATATTTCCCAACACCCTTATGCTTTTAAGTCATATACCCATTTTACAGATAGGGAAGCTGAGGCAGAGAGCTGCTGAGGGAACCTGCCTTTAAGAAAATGCACCGATACCACACAGGTGCCACAACAGCCAGCCCAAATTGAGCCAAGGACCCAAAATTGCAAAAGACGACATTCGCTTGTTCTTTACAGAGCTGTTGGCTTCTCTAGCCCTTTCATCCGGAAACCATTTGGCCCTCCCATTAAAAGTGACAGTTTTGTGTAAAAAGCAACAGGGTTCAATGGGCCTCGAATGCTTTATTGAAGGATGCAACCTCATAATCCCCTCTCCTGCACAGAGAGCAGGCCAGATCCTCAACTGAGGTGTACACTGGCCTACGGCATCCTTTTGAGCACAAGCTCCGGGTTATGGCCAACGTCGCCACCAGAGCAGCTCTTAAACTTGACAGGCCGGATGCAGTCTCGCAGATGAGAACTGGTTTCCAGAGCTGTAAGGCAAGCCGCTGAGTTTAAATGAGCTGTTTTGATTCATCACGTCTCGGTACATGTCGCTCCCGGGAAGGTTGAGTCATTCCACCTCTGGCTTGGCAATTCAAGCATAAACTTGCAATGTGCACACTGCCTTTTATAAGTTATCCTGAGAAACTTGAAACAGCTGCACTTCTGGCAGGAAAACACAGGACCACCAGTAAAAGACCCAGCATAGTTGCATCTTCTAGTTTACGACTGCATGCTGTTTCCATAAAGAGTATATAAAACAAGGCAGCTTTTGTAGGAAAGAGCATGATAAAGTCATCCCCATCGATGCCATAAATGGACACAAGCATTTATTTAAAAATGATTCGTTCCAGTTTGAAACTGTATTTCTTGCACCTAACAGCCCCGGCACAGATGCGGGCGACGTTTATAATCGAGTTATCGCTGGTAAAGTGTTAAGTGAACAGACTCCATCTGCCTCATGCTGCAAAAATAAAAGCCCGGTGCCATGAAGACTTGTTCCTCGAGGTGCTGCCAACAAGCTTGTTGCGATACCAGCACGACACGTGACCAAATTCCTCCCTTTCCCGACTAATTCACATTAGGACCAATTAATGGGGATTGGGAGGAGGAGGGGGAGGGATGACGCACACAAAGGCTGTTCCTTGTTTCCTTTTTTATGAATGAGAGAAGGCCCGGTCCATATAAACCAAAGGAGAAAAATATATTTTTTGCTCATCTCAGAGCATCAGAAGCAGCCTCCTCTCCTGTCTTCCCTATTTTTGCAGCAGCATTTCCGGTATGGCTGATATGGGAAATGGGAACTGGGATCTCCACCTCCCACCACTGCCCCCAGTCAGAAGTGGAGACATACTGAAAGTTTAACAAAGAAAACTTTTTCTCCTTACTGTTTGAGCGAAACCACCACCCACCAATCTGCAAAACCAGAGCACTTCACTGTTTTAGTAAAAAATATCACTTCCCATCCACACTGGGTTTCACTTGCATCAGGTTTTTCATTGCAGAAACATAACGGTCTTCCAGTTGTCAGGAAGCACCCCAGGAAAAATAAAGCTTGATAAGGCCTGAATTTTTTCAGTAAAGAAAAAGGAAAATCAACACAGCCTGCCTCTCCTTGTAAAACCTTCCTTCTGCATTACACGCACTCACTATTCCCCTCTCCCAGGCGCCTTTCGGTGGGACCGTCGGGCGTTCAAAAACGTCTGCTTCTCCCAAATGTTGGCATTCCCGGTTCCTTCAGATACGATCTTTCAAACAGCACAAAGTCATTACTGCTGAAAAGGTTTAAACTTCATTTTTGCCATGGCAACCTGCACGCATTCTTGTTCCTCCAATAAAACAACATGGTACGCTGCTGGCTTTCAAGCACGGCCTTTATTTTCTTGCTGAGTATCAAAACTTGACGTTCTGAGCCCGTTAATTACTGTGGTTCACCAAAGCATGCTGAAAGGATCTGCTGCGCTGAAACCACACCAGGAGCCGACAGCGTTTTGCCTCCTTCACGTCAATCCGCATCTGTGTTGTTTTAATTTCTCCACGACCATTACACAAGCCCATTTCTGCGTGGGCTGCCTGGGCTTTCTGGTGGAGGCCTTTTTTGCACACCTTCGCAGCAGCACAGGAAGAAGAGCTTGCCAAGGCTGTCTCCAAAAGTCAAGTTCAGTTGGGTTTGGGAAACTTGCAGGCAATTGCTCTGACGAGTTAGCGAATTCCAGCGTGCACTGTTTTTCAGAGCTTTCTTTTAACTACCTGTAAATCTTCGAAGCAGAAATCAGGAAAAAGAGGTTTACTTATTCTCATGCATAGTTTTTAAGGCATCTTGTTTTGACTGCGGCGGACTAAATGCTATGGTCAGAAAGCAGGCGATGGTATTTCAGAACGACGCAGAAGAGCTACGTGCTCGCCAAGCTGTGGTTTCACACTCGGCATTTAATGCAGGGCCCATGCACTGCTTCACACCCTGCCCAAGCAAGTGTCCTCCCCTTTCCTTCACTCCTCTTCCCCAGAACCTCTCACCACAGCTTACTGCACCTCCTATCTTGTTCTCCCTACGCCCAACCTCAGTCCTTCATCACAAGGTGAAATAAGCCTTCCCTGTGAGGGAGAGGCTGCTTTTCACACTTATCTCAGGGCCTCAGGGTCAAGCCGGCTGTCCCAAGGTCTGGTGACGCCTTGCTCATCAGGAATAGTTTTACACCACCCACCCCTGGACAATTCACTCAACCGGTCAGCAGGCCTAAGGAGCCTTGCAAAAAGGAGAAGGAGAAGGAGAGAAAGCACCATCTTCCTTGTCCCCCACTAGGCTCATTAGGCAGCATCCATATAACTCCCACTTCCAAAAGGCTGGGAGACCCAAACTGATTCCCCACGTGGCAGCAGGTTGTCTTGCTCTAGGCTCTCTCATGAATAGGATCTCACTGGGTAGAAGTGCTCAATGGGTCTGTCCTTTTTACAAAGTCTCCATCTAGTATGGCATAAAATGCAGTTAAAGGAACATAATCAAAATACTTTGGCCTTCAGATATGACCCACTTGAAAACCATGATGACGTAGTTATGGGCTGGCTGGGTTAAATCAGACCGACACAGAACGGGTGCGTTGGACTCTGTTCACTTTCCACTTTGTAACGTTCAGCTGAGGAATGTGCAGTTCGGACAACAATCTTCAACCTCTTCTCTCTCATCAAGCAACCCTTCCACTTAACCACCTCGGTTTTTCAAAATACACGGTGCCCCTGCCTGCTGATCCAGGTAATGCTTCCCATCTAGCCTCAAGCCATCCATTCCCTTTAATCAACCTGCCTTAATTCATTTTAAATCTCCAGAAAAGCTTCCAGACTGCAAGAGCTGTAGGGCAATGGATCAAAGTGCCTAAGGAAGTGGTGGAGTTGCCTTCACTTGTGGGGGCTCAAGACGAGAACAGCTGGGCAGCTGGCTGGGATGCTTTGGAAACAGCAGAATCCTGCCTCTGTGCAGGGGGTCGGCCTAAATGACCCCCAAGGTCCCTCCTAGCCCATGTCTGATTTTCATTTTCCCCTGCCCCCAGCATGACACAACTCCCAAGACTTCGGGCTGATGAGAAAAGTTTCTGCACCCAGCACCTTTTTATCAGAGACTTCATGGTCCCACCATAGGGAACGCTCCCACTCCTGAAAGGACAAGCTCTGTAACAACCGCCTCTTCCACCTGATACCCATTCCCAAGCAGCCCTTGCGTCCAGCAACCCACGAACCAACCTTCTCCCTGCACATCGCAGCCTGCGTCTCCTGAACCCACCCAACGTCCCGCTGCCGCCGGCCCTGCATATTCCTCCCTTGATCTCAGCTCCACCACAGGCAGCTCCACCCTCCCCTCTGACACGCACACGTCAAGGAGGAATTCACCAAAATCCATCGTGATCCAAGAGACTCCTTTTGAGGCTCCCTGGATGCTCCTCTCCCCTGGTGCTGCTCCAGCAGACACCTCAGCCTCCCCTGCCGGGCTGGCTGTGCCGCTGGAGGACAGTTTGCTAGATGCCCTAGGCATGGACGATGCCCTAGGCACGGAGGGACGTATCCTTAAGCCTGGGGGCTGGCTGCTCCAGGACCCAGCAGCTCTGAAGCTGCCCACAGAGACTCCCAGACTGGGGCTGGCTCAACCCCAAAGAATTTTAAACTGTCCACAAGGAGCTGAGGGTAAGAGCAGCCATTTCCCATTAGGAAGTGGGGCAAGGGGGACAACGGGAGTGCAGGTAAGGCCTAGGGGCAGTCATACGGGGCTGTTCTAAATACTAACAAAACGTGTGTCCTGAACCAGCCGGTGTCCCTTGAACACAGCAGTGGAAAGAGGTGCCGGGGAGACAGGCACACACTCCACTGCGATGCTCAGATAGGGCTGATCCTGCCTGGGGCAGGCGGTTGGATTAGGTGTAACCACCGGAGCTCCCTGCCAGCCCCACTTTGCTGTGTTTCTATGATTAATTCATGCTTGTTTCCAGCTGAGGCAAACTGATAAAAGTGGCCTGAAAGCAGGGTTAAAAATCTCATTAGCAGAAAAAATTCTCCA